AAGAAAAATTTTTCGGAATTTTCTTGTGTTCAAAAATATAAAAGTAGTCTAGAAACATTAGACCCGTCGTATTGAAAGTCCTGAGTGCTGAGTCATTTTCTCTGAATACAGCCACAGCCATAGTTCGTCAACTTGAGTTACATTCAATTAATTTGAAGAATTTCTATCTTCTCTTTCTCGTAGAGTACAACAACTTTCATCATAATATCCTCTCGGAATGATGTCGAACTGATGACTTTGCCCACATCACTAGAAAGATATGCCGTTAAATCGTCTTGCAGAAGTGAAACCACGGAGTCAAAAGGAACAGCACTATCAAAATGATAGATTTTCCATCTCTGTGTAAGGACATCTTCAGACGTAAAGTCTTATGCACAAATGTCGTGACTTCAAACGAATAAGATTATGAGATGAATCATTGGATATTAGAAAATATCGACTACCCACTGGTACCTCTTTTTTTTCAAAATTCTATCCCAATGCCGAAACGAAAGTATTGTGAACATTCGATATAGCATGGAAAATCTATACGTGTACCAAAAGGAGTAGTGGCCGTGTCATCACAGCTATCGAAATTTTTGATTTCTCAATATGATGCGGCTAACGCCCGAATTTGCTGGTTATGTCCAAGATGTCATACATTTGAATCAAAGGAAATGATGACTCATCAATCAATGGAATTCAACGACGATGAAAGTCCAAGTGGTGATGAGCTCATGGCAGAAGATTCTCCTGCGCATGATGGCGAAAATGATGATGATGATGATGATGATGTCAATGTGGAGTTTAATAATCTGAACGAAGAAGAGGAACAGAATCCTCATATGGATAGCGGTATCATAGCTGAGTCAAAGGACGATGATGATGATTCACCATGTATGGATGATGAGACGACTGATCTCGAATCGATGGATGAAGAGACAGGCCATGTTTTCTATGAACTCGAACACCAGAAAGACAAAGCAATGGAAGAATTGTCAAACATATTCTAATTATTGAACATAGACCCGATTCATGACAGGTAAGTTTGTAAATTTAATCCGAATTTTCTGAAACGATATTTGTACTTAGATCAGCAGTATTACCCATTCGAGCCAAAGTTGATGAAGTTTATAGAAAACTTAATCGATTATGTGACGTATTGGATGGAAAGTCTCAAGTTTTGGCATAATCCAAATCATCACAGACTAATGATATGTGAATCAAATGAACATTTGGATGGTTTGAAAAAGTTATACGCCGAGAGTGATGCCGATGAACAAGTTCGCCTGATGACAATTGCTCCCAAATAATGGGGTCGACAAAAAAATCGAAAAATGGTGCGTATTCTATCCTCCTTTCTTTCAATATCTTCGCATTTTTTCAATCATATGTTACTAAAAACTTCTTTCACTTATCAGGTTTCAATCAAAGCAAAATCAGGCTCGATGGTCGTTCGTTCTTCGGAAAAACAAAGGAATACTAGCTTATCCACAATGTCTACGAGAAAATATTCCTTTATCTGACGCAACAATTGACGCTGTGGTCAAGTTCTATTGTGAGGATGATATCAGTCGAACCACATCCAATTCCAAAGACACAATTAAAATCAACAGACAATCAGTGGCAGTTCGTTTTTTAGAAATGACCGTCTTGGATGCCTACCGAATATTCAACGAATGATTTTCTGGAGCTGCTGTAAGATCAACTTTCACTTCCCTTCGACCACGAGAAGTAAAAATTGCAACACCACATGACACGTGCATGTGTATTATTCATGAGAACATGGATCTGTTATTGAAGGTTTGTGTCAGTTGTATATTTATTCGATTGTATCGTAGTTTCATTACAGGCTTGGAACAGCTACTATCGAAAATGTACCGATGTAGCTTCTTTATCAGCTAGTGACAAGATTAATATGAAGGATCGTATCATTCGAATGGTTTGCACTGTCCCGAATGAAAAGTGCTTCAATGGTGAATGTGACGATTGCCCAACGGAAAACATCACGGATATTCTCACTGATAACAATGTGATGGACTTGGATGACGAATGCTCATGGACTCTGTGGAAGAAAGTCAATAATAAGTTCGATCTTCAACAGATGTTTGGCTCAGTTGATTCTCTACTCACGGAAATTGAAGAAAGATGGCCTTTATTCTTGCTTCACACGTACTTTAATCGTCAACGACGTGAATATATCAAAGATTTGCGTTGTCAATCAACGGACAAGACTTTTGTTGTGGCTCAGATTGATTTTTCAATGAATTATACACTGATGCGTCAACGTGAAGTTCAACAAGGATTTTTTAGTCACCATCAAGCCACCTTGTTTACAATCCATCTGACCCNTCCATCTGACCATTGGAAAAGAACAGCGAAACGTAGCGATCATCAGTAATTATATGGAACATACAACAGCATTTGTGCACTGTGCACAAAAAATTCTCGTCCAATTCATTAAGAAAAACTTTCCATTGGTAAAAAAGATCAATTATGTGAGGTAAGTCTTACTGCTGAAGTCTATGTGCTACGTCAGCTCTCTTCTTTCTTTTATTAATGGAGCAAGTGCTCATTTTAAGAACAATGCCAGCATTTTGAACCTGATTCACCATAAGACTGACTTCGATTTGGACGCTTGTTGGACGTTCACAGCTACAGGTCATGGAAAAGGTGCTGGTGATGGCATAGGTGCAGTGCTGAAGTCCATCGCCAGACGTGCTACACTTTCCAAGAACATTCTTATGTCAAATGCAAAAGACTTCTACGAGTTCTCACAAAAACAACAACTTGAAACAGCAAGAAGATCCAACAAAGATATTCCTGGTGTTCATGTCTTCTATCTTGAAGCAGATGAAGTGTAAAATGTGAAGAACAATTATCTAAAAGCTAGAAGCGAAAAACTTCGAACAACNATCATCGCCGTAGGTTCCTGCTCTCTAACCAGCATTTTAAACTTTCATCATGATGTACAAAACTATATTTTTGAGTACACGACGAAACAGCATGTGAAAAGTTTTTATGGAGACTGCCTACGAAGCTAATTATACGACTGATAGATTCACGAAATCATACAGCGATGATGACTAGATTGTCATTACTAGTTTCTCTGGTCTTCAACGAGTCTGTGAAATACTAGAAGCTGCCTGCCACTGTAGGTCTCCGAACCAACATGATTAGGATTAATGGTAATGCTTAAAAACATGTAATTTAGATCTGCTCACTATAGTAGTTGAAAATTTTCTTCATCGATGAATGTGATAATCATGCCGGTTATGGGATCGATAGAGCCAAGAAAACCTCCGGTGATGAACATTAAAAGCGTACTGCTGGTTATCCTAAGATTTGATGAGTCGGTAGAATGTTATAAACCGGCGATCACCGTGGGTTCCCGACATTCTAACAGCTATTGTTGACCTTAAAGGTGTTTGTTGACACGGCATACCTAATTTTTTTGTATAAGCATCTTTCATACTCAGATAGCCTCGCACTAACAAATATCAGCTGAATGAACATCCTAATGTTGTCTGACGTACGCCTACTGTCAGCATCGTATTGAAGGAGCGGTCAGTATAAAGAAACATTTTATTAAATTTGTGAAGTATCATCATAAATCACAGAAAGTAGAGGGATATCCAATATATGCGCACCTCTCGATTATGAGATGGTCAGCTTCATTTTTAATAAGACTCAGTTGAACTTGAGTAGCTTTATCTGCAGTACATTGTGACCGGTGCTTACAGTGCTCGTATACCGGTGAACGGTGAACTGTAGACCGATCACGTCAGTGGCCATCGTCACCGTTGCATCCCTACTATTAATAATATGTGACAATAATAGAAATGAACAAAAAGTCAACACACAACGACTAAATGAACTAAAGTAAATAGAAGTTAAAGTTGTTCTATTTCTTCTATTGTTTTTGGTAATATGTGATCATTCATATTCAAAAATTACAAACAGCAAGCAGATGAAAATATAATTAAATGAAACAAGACAAACGTATCTTTTAGTCACTAGAACGATACATTTTGCAATTTATTTGAAAAAAAGCTATTATATAAAGTTCGAGAATTTTTTTAGAGTTTGACACAAGAAAATCTTCATAATCGTTGTTTTTGTTCAATGTTGATAAATCTCATTTTCAATAAGATTTTGCTTTTTATGGAATCTGCTGTTAACACTATTTGAAATCGTCACAGTTACACTGTACTTATGACATACCAAAGGAAAATGACGCTGACACAATAATAGTTTACATAAGAGCAAAGAAAATTTTCTTTGTATATAGTCTGATAGAGAAAAGAATGGTCGATTTTTCTATATTATTTGATCATACTTCAACTAATATCAGAAGAATAAAACAGAAGATAAGAACTGTTTTTGTGTACAACTTCATTAATATGTAAGACAAATAAAATGATCACGTTTTATATTTCAATTTTCAACTACTTAATAGGTTATATTAATAAAAATAAAATATAGCGCAAGATGCAGCGTTAATAGCTCTACAATTTACATAAGATCGCTTATTTAATAATTTCCACTTTGTGTTTTGAAAATGAAAAAAATGTTGAGCGACCAATTTTCGACCGTATGAAAACGGTACTTGTTTTGAAATAAGATGAATTCATTTTTTCTTATTTTATCTTTTTATCATCTGATATCTTTTATTTAAAGAAAACAAAATACATCACAAGATGCAGCGTGAAAAGCTCTACAATATATAAAGTAAAGATTACTTTAATTGTGTACTTTTTGTTTTGAAAAAAAAACGAAAAATTTTATGCGACCACCCTAGTCGAACATCTTGTAAGCAATATCTTGGCCAAGGTCTTAGGTACAGAAATGTAAACAGATCTTGGAAATTTAGGTACAAGATAATATCATTATCTTGCACCAAGATCTTGAATTAGATCTTAGGTACAGACATTTAAGATCTTGGACACAGATTCATAAGACCTTAAATATGGATCCATAAGATCTTGGGTATACACTGAGATTATACGTGTTGCGTGTGTCGTGATTTGCGACACGATGCATGATAGATTCTGAAAGCGTGGTTCGAATCTATCATATAGAGCACTTATTTTTTTTTTTTTTATAAAATCATGTTATGACATTTTTTTTCAATATATTTCATTTTAATTATTCCTATTCTGAGTAACTAAAGCAAGTCAGATCTTGGAACCTGCCTGATCTAGAGATGGCTCGATCTCCATCACACTACTTCAGGGTAGTCTGCTCTTGATCATTGATTGAGATCAGCATTTTCTCGAATGATTAATAGTCGCAAAAGAGTTTAGAAAAAAATATTTTTTGAAAACGTACGTTTCGTATGTTCAATCAAGTTGTTTATAAACGGCTCTATATGCATAAAAAAACGGTGAATGACTAGTAGTTAGCATGTAACCAATAAACTAATGATGTCGCTTTTTCCTGTATTCAAGATCTTGTGAGAAGATAATAGTGAACGATATCTTTTCCATGATCTTAACAAGATCTTAAGCACAGATTTATCTGATATAACCAAGATATGCATATGCAAATTATCTTTCCAAGATCTGATCAAGATCTTGCTTATCGGTCCCAAGATTTCAAGATCTTGCTTACAAGATGTTTCACTAGGGCAATTCTCACTGATCGAAAAGACAATGTTTTTCTAGAGTAACGACAAATTTCTTTTTTTCTTATTTCATATATAAAATAAGCGATCTTATTTAAATTGTAGAGCTTTTAACGCTGCATCTTGCGCTATATTTTATTTTTATTAATATAACCTATTAAGTAGTTGAAAATTGAAATACAAAACGTGATCATTTGATTTGTCTTACATATCAATATGTCATTTTATAACTAGACCTAAAAGGAGTGAGGAGGAACAATTGGTTTCCTATAGCCATACGATCTAAGCATAATGTTGCATAATATTCATTAATATCAGTAACCGCAGATCGATAGTCTTTTATTGGTCGATTGTTGTTATTTAAATATTTAATTTCTGAGATATTGACAGCTGATTTAATAATTTGGCAGATATGTTGTACCACCTGTTCTTTTGGCAGACTGTTAGGTACCTGTCGCACTACAAATGCAATCAGTCCGGGATAAAATTGGGTTTATTTATTTTAACAATCTTATTTTCAATTTCTTCCGGCCATTTAGAATTTATCAAGTTAAAATAATCATCTTTATCATTTGTACCGATTTTCAATCGATTTTTCCCAACAAAAGAACATAGAGTAAAACCTTTAAATGATGGTTCCCATTTGTTTCTAAAAAAATGATTAAGTAGATGAGCTACTTTTGTTGTTGAAGGAAGTTGACCAATAGATAAATCTTCTTCAAATTGTAGATAGAAACACGGAAGATTGTTAAAGATAGCTCTTGTCATGTCAGCTAATGTAAAATGATTACTTAGCGATCCTTGCTGTTGTTGACTAGCTGATATCGGATTCATGTCATGAGGATCTAACTGACTATTTTTGACCGAATATCCGGAGCTATGGTTTATTTCATCTTCGGCAATTGTACGATGTTTTTTGTATTGCTGAGGATGTTGATTTTCTCCACTATCGTTTAATCGTCGTCTAATTGCAGGAGATGATGTTCCTGATTCTTTATTTTGCTGTTTACTTCCTTGAGCAAGACCGTGTGTTAGTATAACTGGTGAATGGGGAGAGTTTGAAATCTCTTGTCCCATCAGTGGTGGAATTATAGAAGTCGGGTTGTTGTTTAATAATGACATCTTTGGACGGTATGCGATTGGTCTGTTCGGATGCGAGGATTGGTTACTATTTACCGATGTAAAAGTTGGAGATTGAGAAGGAAGATGATGGACGGAAGGATGAGCAGATTGTTGAATTGGCACTTGCGCTTTCTGATTTTCTTGCAGCTTTTGCAAACCAAGTTTAAATATGTATTGAAAGTATTCTAATTCCTGTTGGGCGTCGTTAATTTTGATGGGACTAGAATTCTCCATGGTTTACACAAACGGCAGCACTGCCGAGTATGTCTTTTGAGAACGAGTATGTGGTATACGAATATTACGTCTTATCACTAACGATCGCTCACACTGTTCTCGTAGTTCAATGACATGTATATATTAAGAGGAAAGAAAAGAGAAATAATTGGGCCTTTCACGCCGACGAATGGCTTCTTCGCACATTTATACGATGAACACAATGAAACCCAGGTCAAGACAAACAGTTAAAGAACGCGTTCCGAACATAGCTTGCGAACGCGTTCGGAACTAGTAGCTCGGAACGCGTTGTTTATACCTTTCGATTCAGGTTCTTCCTGACGTTCCATGTAATCGCAAACGCTGAAGTCGATGGTGTATATATACCGACACTTCAGTCGCTCTCATTAAGAGTAGATTTACTTTCGTATATAAAGATTTTTCAGTTTCTGAGATACAAATTCATGCGAAAAATAAGAAGGTAGTTAAATAAAGGATCTCTTTAACTATCTTCTTATTTTTCGCGTGAATTTGTATCTCAGAAACTGAAAAATCTTTATATACAAAAGTAAATGTGCTCCTTGTGAGAGCAGCTGAAGTGCCAGTATATATACATCATCGAATTCAGTGTTTGCGATTACATTGAACGTCAGGAAGAACCTGAATCGAAAGAGATAGCAAAGCGTAAAATTTCACAAATAAAAAACTGTTTCATAAAAGTATATGAGCAAGCTTACATGAATTAAAAAAATATTTTCTGAATGGAATAAAAACTCCTTTGCTAAATGCGTTGTCGATATCTTAAGTACTGTCTTCTTTTTAAATCACGATCTATATGAAATCAGTTATAATAAAAAGATTGTAAGATGCGATTTAGAAATAAAAATTACGATATAGCTGAAATAGACTAACATATAAATCATCAACACCGAGTATATGTTGACTTATTCATTATATAAACTGAAAAATAAGTCATATCATCCAAAAAAAACAACTTGTATAAATTGCCAATTAATGTATAAAAACAAAATAAAAAAATATAATTATCTAAAATAATTTTTGATCATAGATATTTTATAGTTTCTATTTCTTCACAATAATTAAAACTTAAAAATAAAAATGCAAAGTCCTTTTATATTTTAGTGAAAGACTATCATTTTTCATTGTTATTCACGCGTGGCCTCTACAAAGTAGACGAGAACGCTTCTAAACGCGTGCGAAACAAGTGATCGATATAAAACGCGTTTGAAACGCGTTGAGAATGCGTTTTCATCCGTTCATCCGTTTAGAATGCGTTCTTTAACCGTTCGTCTTGACCTGGGAAAAAAGTTTGTATCCGACTGCCACTCCCTCTCTCTTTCGTTCTTCGCCCATCATTCGTCGATGTGAACAAGCGAATTACTTTTTTTCTCCTTTCTGTTCATATATACGTATCATTCAAGTACGACAACAACATGAGCGAAAATTCTGTAAACAATTTTTTTTCTTTGTCTCTCTCTAATGTAAAACGATATAGGGGTGAATCCATGGAGACCTAACCACTTTTTGGAAAGAGTTTTTTTTTCGATTTTTTCGCTTCAAAATGCCGGTATGCTCTAGAAAACACTTTTAATGAAAAAAAATTAAGTCCTTCCTATTGAAAATGTCGAGTTTTGGAGCATTTTTTCGGAACTCCTATGATACATTGTTATATATTGAGAAAATGTCAGGAAAAAGTCTAGAACTTCTTCAAAGACAAGTTTTTCGGAATTTTCTTGCGTTCAAAAATATAAAAGAAGTCTAGAAACATGTTTCTTGAGAAACATGAGACCCGTCCTATTGAAAGTCCTGAGTGCTGAGTCCTTTTCTCTGAATACAGCAACAGCCATAGTTCGTCAACTTGAGTTACATTCAATTAATTTGAAGAATTTCTATCTTCTCTTTCTCGTAGAGTACAACAACTTTCATTATAATATCCTCTCAGAATGATGTCGAGCTGATGACTTTGCCCACATCACTAGAAAGATATGCCGTTAAACCGTCTTACAGAAGTAAAACCACAGAGTCAAAAGGAACAGCACTATCGAAATGATAGATTTTCCATCTCTATGCAAGGACATCGTCAGACGTAAAGTCTTATGCACAAATGTCGTGACTTCAAACGAATAAGATTATGAAATGAATCATTGGATATTAGAAAATATCGATTACCCACTGGTACCTCTCTTTTTTTTTAAAATTCTATCCCAATGCCAAAACGAAAGTATTGTGAACATCCGATAAAGCATGGAAAATCTACACGTGTACCAAAAGGAGCAGTAGTCGTGTCATCACAGCTATCGAAATTTTTTGATTTCTCAGTATGATGCGGCTGACGCCCGAATTTGCTGGTTATGTCCAAGATGTCATGCATTTGAATCGAAGGAAATGATGACTCATCAATCAATGGAATTCAACGATGATGAAAGTCCAAGTGGTTGTGAGCTCATGCCAGAAGATTCTCCTTCCAATGATGGCGAAATGATGATGTCAATGTGGAGTTTAATAATCTGAACGAAAAAGAGGAATAGAATCCTCATATGGATAGTAGTATCATAGCTGAGTCAAAAGACGATGATGATGATTCACCATGTATGGATGATGAGACAACTGATTTCGAATCGATGGGTGAAGAGACAGGGCATGTTTTCTACGAACTCGAACACCAGAAAGGCAAAGCAATGGAAGAATTGTCAAACATTTTTCGTATTATGGAACATAGACCCGATTCATGACAGGTAAGTTTGTAAATTTAATCCGAATTTTCTGAAACGAACTTTGTACTTAGATCAGCAGTATTACCCATTCGAGCCAAAGTTGATGAAGTTTATAGAAAACTTAATCGATTATGTGACGTATTGGATGGAAAGTCTCAAGTTTCGCATGATCCAAATCTTCACGGACTAATGATATGTGAATCAAATGAACTTTTGGATGGTTTGAAAAAGTTATACGCCGAGAGTGGTGCCGATGAACAAGTTCGCCTGATGACAATTGCTCCCAAAGAATGGGGTCGACAGAAAATCGAAAAATGGTGCGTATTATATCCTCGTTTCTTTCAATATCTTCGCATTTTTTCAATCATATGTTAGTAAAAACTTCTTTCCCCTATGAGGTTTCAATCAAAGCAAAATCAGGCTCGATGGTCGCTCGCTCTTCGAAAAAACAAAGGAATACTAGCTTATCCACAATGTCTACGAGGAAATATTCCTTTATCTGACGCAACAATTTACGCTATGGTCAACTTCTATTGTGAGGATGGTATCAGTCGAATCTCATCCAATTCCAAAGACACAATTAAAATCAACGAACAACCAGTGGCAGTTCGTTTTTTAGAAATGACCGTCCTGGATGCCTACCGAATATTCAACGAACGATTTCCTGGAGCTGTTGCAAGATCAACTTTCACTGCCCTTCGACCACGAGAAGTAAAAATTGCAACACCACATAACACGTGCATGTGTATTATTCATGAGAGCATGGATCTGTTATTGAAGGTTTGTGTCAGTTGTATATTTATTCGAATGTGTCGTAGTTTCATTACAGGCTTGGAACAACTACTATCGAAAATGTACCGGTGTAGCTTCTTTATCAGCTAGTGACAAGATCAATATGAAGGATCTTATCATTCGAATGGTTTGCACTGTCCCGAATGAAAAGTGCTTCAATGGTGAATGTGACGATTGCCCAACGGAAAACATCACGGATATTCTCACTGATAACAATATGATGGGCTTGGATGACGAATGCTCATGGACTCTGTGGAAGAAAGTCAATAATAAGTTCGACCTTCAACAGATGTTTGGCTCAGTTGACTCTCTACTCACGGAAATTGAAGAAAGATGGTCTTTATTCTTGCTTCACACGTACTTTAATCGTCAACAACGTGAATATATCAAAGATTTGCGTTGTCAATCAACGGACAAGACTTTTGTTTTTTCAATGAATTATACACTGATACGTCAGCGTGAAGTTCAACAAGGATTTTTTAGTCACCACCAAGTCACCTTGTTTACAATCCATCTGACCATTGGAAAAGAACAGCGAAACTTAGCGATCATCAGTAATTATATGGAACATACAACAGCATTTGTGCACTGTGCACAAAAAATTCTCGTCCAATTCATCAAGAAAAACTTTCCATTGGTAAAAAAGATCAATTATGTGAGGTAAGTCTTACTTTTGTTAAAGTCTATATGCTACGTCAGCTCTCTTCTTTCTTTTAGTGATGGAGCAAGTGCTCATTTTAAGAACAACGCCAGCATTTTGAACCTGATTCATCATAAGACTGACTTCGATTTGGACGCTTGTTGGACGTTCACAGCTACAGGTCATTGAAAAGGTGCTGATGATGGCATAGGTGCAGTGATGAAGTCCATCGCCAGATGTGCTACACTTTTCAAGAACATTCTCATGTCAAATGCAAAACACTTCTACGAGTTCTCACAAAAACAACAACTTGAAACAGCAAGAAGATCCAACAAAGATATTCCTGGTGTTCATGTCTTCTATCTTGAAGCAGATGAAGTGGAAAAGGTTAAGAACAATTAGCTAAAAGCTAGAAGCGAAAAACTTCGAACAACAGGTGAGAAAGACCTTTGCTTCTATTCCTTTATGTCCGTGTTGGTTTAGGTACAATAAGGGATCCGAACTATGCATGAATTCAAACCGATTAGTCCCTCAATGATTCAATATCGTTCAACATCTCCATCAACACAGCTCAGGACATTTACATTTAAATAAAATTCCTTTTTATGTCTTTTCCAGTAGATCAAATTTTTTGGAGTCAGACTTGATGGTGATACCCAGCACTCAGACAAATTGGACAGCTCTCTTCATTCCCTCCTTATACTAGATTCGTTTAGTCTTAGGTCAATGACTTAGGGTGAATTTTCTGTCAAAATTCGATGTCATCAACTGTCCGTAACTCTACGAGAAAGAGAAGATAGAAATTCTTCAAATTAATTGAATGTAACTCAAGTTGACGAACTATGGCTGTTGCTGTATTCAGAGAAAAGGACTCAGCACTCAGGACTTTCAATAGGACGGGTCTAATGTTTCTCAAGAAACACGTTTCTAGACTTCTTTTATATTTTTGAACGCAAGAAAATTCCGAAAAAATTGTCTTTGAAGAAGTTCTAGCCTTTTTCCTGACATTTTCTCTATATATATAACAATGTATCATAGGAGTTCCGAAAAAATGCTCAAAAACTTGACATTTTCAATAGGAAGGACTTAATTTTTTTCCATCAAAAGTGTTTTCTAGAGCATGCCGGCATTTTGGAGCGAAAAAAATCGAAAAAAAACTCTTTCCAAAAAGTGGTTGGGTCTCCATGGATTCACCCATAGACCAATAAAGTCTTTCGCCGATCCTCCGTATATGTACGGCACATAGAAAAGAGAGAATGCTTCACCAACCGAATGAGTGCGCCCCCTATTTCTCACGCGTCCAGATTGAACTAAAAAAACTAAGAAACTTTTTTCTTGGAGCCGAAAATGAGAAATTATCTCAATAATTCTGCAAATGTATGTGGTTCACATGCCTCCTCATGCATGAAATTTTATATTTCGTGCTTGTAGCGTTAATAATTTTCCATCAGAAGAAAAATGTAACTAAATTCGGAAAAAGTGTCGAAAAAACGTGGGGATTTTCACACTTTATGCATTTTCTTCGTGATAGAAGGGTGATGCTGGAGTTATAGCACCTGCATCTAGTAGATTCCTTCGAGATCTATCTGAAGCGATGTTCCTCGTACTTGGAGTGCACTCGTAGGCGAATTGCGAGGACTTCAATTAGAAAAAATGACTAATTAGGCAGTAATTAGGAACTGTCTGGGTCACTGAGCACTCGATTGAAATTAAAAAGATATCCATTAGATGGAGCTTGTCGACATCTATCTGGGGAGGTATGCTTCGCACTTGGGGTGCACTCCTATGCGAATCGCGACGAGTTGAATTAGAAACATTGACTAATTAAGCGCTAATTAGCAGCTTTCTGTATCACTGAGTATTTGACTGAAGGTAAAAAGGTATCCATCAGATAGAGCTCGTCGAGATCTGTCCGAAGAGGCGTGTGTCGTACTTACAGTCCACTCATAGGCGAATCGCGAGGGGTTTTCTGAATTTTTCTGTTCTTTTGGCATTTTTTTGCAGTATTCTTGGGTTTTTTTAGGGAAGGGGGTGATTTTTCCGGGGGGAGGGGATATATAGGTCTGATAGAGCTCGTCGAGTTCTACTTAGAGTGCACTTCAGCGCGACTCCATTGATAAAAATGTCGAATCCTGACCTAAGATATCCTACGTTACAATAATACTGATTTTTAAAGTTGCTTTTTCAAGACAATAATAAAGGGATCATTTAATTTTTCTTATTGTCAAAATATTTGAGTTAATCATTGTTGACTACGCCGAAATAGTCATGACGACAAAATTTTGATGATATCATTAAAAATTTGAACATTAAATAGAGAAACAGTTTTATGGGAATCATCTTGATTAATGTAATCTTACGAGGGAAGGTCCCCAACTGTCCAATCACTTTTGAGTTAGGACCCCAAAAGGATTACGGCCCTTAGGGCTTCTGTCCAGAGTTATAGGGATTTTACTGGAATTTCAGCCAATGGGATGATATTTACCAACAAATTGAATGACGATATTTCGGGTTGAGATTTTGCCTATAGACAGGTCTAGTTGTGAGTTGAATTCCCTGAAGATTTCAGCTCAATAGAGCATTTCCTTCTGGAGATATTAAAGTCCAAAAAATCACTCATATCTTACGAAAGATGCTAGAATTTTCTGTTTTTTTGGACTTTAATATCTCGAGAAAGAAACGTTCCATTGAGCTGAAATCTTCAGGGAATCCACCTCACAATTCGACCTGTCTATGGGCAAAAATTCAACCCGAAATATCGTCATTCGATTTTTTGGTAAATATCATGCTATAGGCTAAAATTCCAGTAAAATCCCTATAACTCTGGACAAAAGGCCTAAGGGCCGTTATCCTTTTGGGATTTTTCATACCTCACTGGAGTCTACCTTATGCACAGAGTCCGAACTCAAAAGCGATTGGACAGTTGGGGATCTTCCCTCGTTAGTAGATTTTGTTTATTGTTGTAGAATATAGAAAACACATGGTTGTTGAAACGTATGAAAATAAGCCTATGAATGTAATTTGTGTCAAATTTTTGTTCATTATTCTGAGAGTTTTTTTCTTAAGGTGATGTCTCCATAATGTATAGACCTCCGTGGTTCCGAAAAAAAAGAAAGCAAAAGGTTTTTGAAAAATTTGCAACTTCGTCGACGTTCACTATATGGTATACTATTATTAGATAACTGTTTCGAAAAATAAGTCTTTGGGAATCGATATTGAACCCATTGTTTTCATTGTTAATAACAGAAACCAGCATCGAACCATCGGTTTCGAGTATTTTCTTTTTCGATTAACAGTCTCTAATATTGAGTCACTAGTTAGAAGAAAATAATCTTTTGAACGGTTTAGCTATCATAGATGACAGATTTTGCATATAAGATCTACAATGTAATTTCTCTGTTACATTGAAAAAAAACTTGAATAGTTTTATTTGACATACTTTCTGACTTCACCTATTAGTAAGTTCAATATTTGATTATTTTATTTAATGCATAAACGATCATAATCAAAATAGAATTCTTCATTGTTAACTTTTATTTAAGAACAAGCTGAATATTAATCGATTATTCTAAAAGGTTTAAGAACAAACGTAAAAAAAGTCTAAAAATTTAGTGTAATTACAAATAACAGTCAAATGTTTCATCATAGATTGTCTTTTCAAAATGAGACCGATTGAGAATGTGATGCTTCCTCCTGACCATCTTTATTAAATAGACGTGTTTCAATCATGTTACCAGTACCTAAATAGTTAAAATAGAGACAAACAAATAAATGAATCTATTAAATAGATATTCTAATTGATATACTCCATGAAGCGATATCGTTATTGACCAATTTTTGACCTGATGATGATCCAGCAGTAGCATTACCCACCTTTGAATATATTCTTAATTCGCCGTTTCGTTCAATTAGAGTTCCGTCAGGTATTGTATATTGAAGTTGTTTTCCTGAATCAGTATTTTGTTTGAGCATCCATCTTGAAATATCAATTTCGTTAGTGGCCAAAGAGCTTACCAAACTAATGTATGCACCATCAAGAGAGCATTCGTCTGAAATAAAAATAAAATAAATAATATTCTTTATCTATTTTCCATTCAATTTGAGACTGACCAATGCCAATACATCCTTGTCTATATTTTTTAATAGTAATTTTTCTCATCGATTCACTTCCAGCTGGTGGACACAAAGGAGTAAGAACAACTCGTTCTTTTATTTTAATATTATTGGCATTCAATAAATGTGTGTAAACAATAATTTCAGCTTCTAACGTATCTTTACTAGAAAAATTCCCGAACAATAAATTAAAATATAATTTTCTATTGATGATGAACTTAATCTAACCTGCATTCCATTTCACCAATATCACAGATTATAGCCAAAATACTTTCTTTTATACTGGATATTTCTTTTGATGATGCTTCATATTGTTCTTTATTTTGAAGTTGAATTGATCTAAATTCTCCTTCCAATTGAGCTTTTAGAAGATAAAAAAAATATTTTTTAAATGATATCAAAGATAAAAACAAAAAGAAATATGAAACCTCACTTACCGTAAGTAGTTTGAAGTTTGCTTTGAATTTCTTTTTCATAAGATAAACTTTTATTAATTTCTTCGTATTCAATTTGCGATTTCTCTTCAATTGTTGAGAACTCTTTGCTTACAGATTGTTGACAATATGATGTTTCTTGAACATTCTTTTGAAGTTCCGCCATTTTATTTTCATAACATGCAAGCATTTCACGACGAATCGTACCATAAAACACTTCAAAATCCGAACGTATTGCCTTGATAATTTTTTCAAATTCTGATCTCCAAAATTGTGTCTCATCCTCTAATGTAACCGATGAACTACCAAATTCTCTAAAAAAAATAAAAATAAAATATATCTCAATTACAAAACCAAAGAATAAGTTAATTCAACTCACCGCACTGAATACGAACTTATATTCTTATAAAAGACAATGTGACGTTTCAATGTTTGTACACTTAAATTTAAATGTTGTTGTTGTTTCATAACATTACACCAATCATGTGCCAATGACAAATATCGTTTCAATAGACTATCACGTTCGGCATAGTTACCATCAATATTTTCTCCCAAATTTGTATAAGATGTGCGTAGAGTAGTGAGCTGAGACGCTGATTGTTTTAATTCTTCTTCTAATGCAAAAATTTGTTTATCTCTTGAATTTTGTTGCATTTCAATCAATGTTTCATATATTCTAATTTGTAGTTGATACAGTTCGAAATCTGAGTCAAAATTAATTTTTTCATTGGCCAACATAGAAAAATTTGAATTTAGTGATAAATAATGTTCATCCCATGATACATCAATACTACTGAAACCTGATACATGTTCTCGTAAATTTGAAATTTCTGCAATGTATTTTGAATTATCTGTTTGTAGCAATTGAACACGATCCGTGAATAATTTAAGACGTTGATTCAATTGATTAAGAGAATCTTTCTCATGTTGATGCTGTGCTTGAAGATCAATTTCAAGCTGTTGAAAATTAATTGATGGTACAAGTGGACAACGAACAGTAGATATAGACTCTACACCACGAAGATGATGAGTAACAATTGAATTATTATCAAAATGATCATTATCGTCGATGATGATATGTGAATCGTGTGACATTCTTATCGATAAAAGTCTTCAATAAGATTATCAATGTGATTTATAAACTTGTTTTATTCTCAGATTATTTTTTCTCTTATTAATATATTGAAGAATAAAATACAGATTCTATTCCATTATTGTTTCATTCCTTATATGATCTTTAAGATGAGAAATAAATCAAATATGAAATTGAATGTCAAATGATTTTTTTTTTTCTTTCCTACATATTTAATACTTTATGTGACCAATCATACCGCATATTCTACTTAAGTTTATTTTGTCATTGAATATATTCTATAAATATTTTTATTTAAAATATACTCTCATAGAATATGTATGATTCGATTTTAAAAATCATCCGACGTTAGAAGAAAAAATACCTTGAAAACTTATATTCATTTTCATCAACTGATCATATTACTGGATTTTTTAGATAAATAGGAACTATTATTGATAAATGATCGTTTTTACCTTGGATTTCATGTCAAAAATAGTCAAAAAAAATATTTACCACTATATTATGTTTTTCATTTTCAGGGTAACACAAATCGATCAATCAGGAACGAGACCATTAATTTTATTTCCAGTTATAAACAATTCGACTTTCAGTAATTGATATCAACTATACAATATTGTGTGTGTGTATAGATATGTTTTTTAAGATAAGAATATTATACAAAAGATACGTATATATATATTGGTGATTGTCTTATCTTCTTCATTTATATCCAACATTGATAAAATCTATTAATAAAAAATGCTTGTTTATAAAATGCAAATAGAAGAAAAATTTATATAATTATATTTTATTTTTTGCTCATATTTGATAATAATGTTTAGGTCATGTTAACAAAAAACAGTATCTGTTCAAATATAAGAATATTGAAACGTGAACTTTTTTTTCAAAATTTTATTTTCTATTTAATCGCAACTCAATTTTTTCTACCTGTCAGTTATGTTCAAGTATGAACTAATATTTTTTATCGATATTTCTTTCGAACTCTTTATAGTTCGATAAAATTGAGAATATTGATTAGAGAAAGATTTTTAAAAACTTTCTTAAAACCTTAAAAGAACAATTTTTTTTTTCGATGAAGAGTTTGTTTTTCTCTATCAAAATCTATAAGAACTTCTTAGATATTTAAATATTTTTTGTATCGATAGATGTCAAATACTAGCCTGATTAGGTTATATTGTAAATTAGCACGAAAAACGAAGCAAACTTACGGGTTTTTAAAATTGATTCAATAATTCTTTTTGTTGAATTTTAATCGGTTAGTTCTTCTCAAGGATATGCTGAAATATAAATTTTATTAAAACAATTATTTTCATGTATATTAATCCCTAATTTTGTTTTCGAACAACATTTTACTTGTACAGAACTTCATTTCCGGTCCGGTGTGTAAACTGTTTTTTTATCAAATTCATATTTCAACATATCTTTATGAGAACTGAACTAAGGGTCAAATTTCGATTAAAAAAAAAGTCATTGAAATAATTTGAAACATATCAGAATATTCTTTTTTTGTGCTCATTCCAAATATGACATTTGTTTCATGTCAAATCATAGATTATTCTATTCAAAAAATCATTAAATATCATTAAAAAATAACATAAATTGTGTCTCAGAAATAATAATTAGAGCGAATGTATTTTATTATAGATCGAATTTCAATATAATCACGATGATTTTTTCTGATGAAATAAATTCATTGAAGCTGATATTATACTTCATATAAAACAAAGTTGATTTTAATTTGAAGAGATAATGAAATTTTACTGTTCAACTATAGATCATTTAGTATTTACGATGTGAAAATTTTTTGTTGTATAACATATTTTTCAACTGCTTAGAAAAATTCACACCTCAGTAAACTGTTGTAAAGCGCTTAGCTTTCCTCATTGCAATCCGCTTCTATTGCATAATCCATCATTTAATAGAGCTTAGCAAATTTTATTATACGCAATGTGAAAAGTTTATAATCAATATCGCTGAAACGTGTTGTATTTTTTTTGTATTTAAGCGCTTCGTAGGACTTTTAGTAAAAAGCACTATACAGTCAGACAAGACTTGAAAAAATACGTTAAAGCGCGTTAAAGTATTCGAGTTTTAGACGTATTTTTCTGAATGAACTTAATTGTGTTGAAGAAAAATTCCTTATTTCTTGTTTTTTAAAGAGATTCAACGAGTCTAATTGAATTCGTCTCTGAAGATTAGTTTAACCGCAGAATTTTTAGTTGATATATTTGACCGTTGAATTTTCCTAGAACGATTAAAGTTTTTGATTTTTCGTTTTAGAATGAATAAATGATGAAAATTATGTAAAATAATATTATAAAAAAAAAATTAATAAACAATAAATTTAGAATATTATTTATTAGCACTTAATTAATATTGGCGAAAGAAAAAAACTAGTCTAACAATAATAATACAACGAACAAAGTAGCTCGTCGTATAAAATATTTATTAAATAAAAATAAATCATAGATTGAATCGGACCGATTGAATCGCAACTACCATTTTTATTTCTCTATTAAATCACTTTTCTATTTATAAAAAAAACATCAATCCACATATTCACAATTCTCATGATAAAAATTCTATCAACCATCGTTTCAACGACAACTGTCAGGAAAATAACACTTTTTTTTCCCTTAAACACATTAATTTTTCTTGCAACACGTTCAAATGCATAGGTTTTTATTTGCAACATGTTTGATCGCATTGTTTTATCTGTGACACGGTTAGTATTTTCAGTTTAAAATGTTACCTAAAAATTCTTTTTAAAGCATGTTTATCAGAGACACGTCTTTTTTTTCTAATAGGTTACATTTGAAAAGAATAAAATAATTTGGATTTTTTTTATTTACTTCAGTACTCAACTCAATTTTTTCAGTTATTCATTTTTGTTTTTTTTATATATTTGTCGATAAATGTTAGCCACTCTGTTCCATATAACAGCTAACATATATATATATATATAATTCGTTAAAAAAATAATGTACTTTAACAATCATAGCTTTTTTCGTTCTCTTCAAATATAATTTGATATTGAACCTGACACAAATAGATTAAAATAATAGAAATTAATAGAAAACTTAACTCTCTATATCATCATTTATTCATGAGAACATTTCTATGATGATACAACTGCAATGTTGTTTAAGAAAAACAAAGAAAAATCTATGAATAGATTTCAAATGAAATCTTTTTAGAAAAAAATTCAATTCATAATAAATATAAATAGCTAATCAATATTATGAATAATACAGAGTTCAATAGAAAATCATATTTACTATTAAATATATATTAATATAAGATAAGTTTAAGTATTTAAATGATTAATAATTAACAAAAAATATTCAAAGTAAAAGTAAATACTTAGCTTTTTGTCAAATTTCTTTGAATTTTTTGACAGATTCAAATAATAAAATACAATGAAAATTACATTATTCGGTATATAGATCATTGATCCATTTAACTATATTTAAATAAATATTTTTGAAAGTTAAAAATAAACATAAACATCAAATTACGTGAAATTAACAAAAATCACCTAATCAAAGAGTGTACTTACAGAAAATAAAAACTTTTCCCTAAGTTTACCATTGAAAGCCTATTTATTATCGAGTGTTTATCACGTATATTTATTTAAAAGTTTAATAAATAGTTCTTATTGATAATTCTTGATACCATTGATATTTGTTTAACATAATTTAAGAGTTTCTAAAATTGACATGGATTCTTTTTAATTATATATTATTTATATAGTATAATGGTATACATTATATATTCGAAATCCAAATAGTATTTCTACTATTTACCTAGTTTTTTTCGGATTTTTTTCGATTCTCACACATTTAATAGTTTTACTATTAGTTACATTATTGACATCGAGATTATCATCAAATCTATGAAAATACATTTATTAAATATAATCTACTTAAAAATATTTTCTCGTCAATCGATTATTTATTATCATAATATTGTTATTATATGTTCATAAATATTTAATGAAACATTGATTTTCAAAAGAGGAAATTCTATTCAATAATTATATGATTATCTCAATAGTTGAATAAAGGTAGACGAAAAATTTATTTTACCTCATTTTACTTTTATGCCTACATCTTTCAGAAACATTTTACAATGTTTCAATACCTTTAATCTCTTCAATCGTTTTAATCTCGTTAATCCTTCTATCATATTTAGTCGTTTTAGTCCCTTTAATGTGTGGATGTCGATGATTGTGCAAGTTAGAGTGGTAGTAGGTCGATGTTGATATCAGTCTTTGTTTGAACATTTTTTTATCTTAGGATATATTCATATCTTCTACATCCACATCTCCACCGACATCCTAAACGAACTAAACTATCAAGATCATTATGCTTTGAATAACATAAAAGTAAAACGAGATAAAATGAATTTTTTGTGAATCCTTTATGATTGAATAAAACTTATTTTAAAATTAATTCAAAGTATGAACCAATTCGTCAACAGGGTCATAAATTAAAGGAAAAAATTGTTGAAAACAAGAAAAATAATCAAAATATAATAGAACAACAATAACGAAACAATCTTATTAGATCATTAGTTTCATCAGTTAATGAATAAGCTAATTATTTAAAAAAATATCATCGAGTTTAGAGACCATCTAAAATATCTGATGAATTATTTATATGATTAATATAAATCCACGAAGAAATATAAACTCAACAGGATAAACAATTTACTTTCACACTCTCTCAAATACATAGAGTACAAGAGTACAGTTAAAGTACAAAACTATAATGAAAATCAAGCCAACGCATGTTGAAGTACGTTAAATATGAAAGTATATCGTTATTTTCATGGATTGAATTTTAGATTTTTCTTCTTTATAAAACTGTATTTCTTACAATTCAATAAGTACTGAAGAATGTCGTTTCCTCCCTTGAGTTCAAGTCATTTTCTATTTCTTTGTCATCTGTCTTGATTTACATGGAAAAATGTTAATTTTATATGATATTTAATATTTTTATGAATTTTTCTTGTTATTTGTTCATGTATCAACATTTAAATGCGATTGATAAACTCATAAATGAATGTTTCTGAAAATAAAAAATGAAACTACGAAGATAATGTCTAAACATATATAGTTTTGTGTTGATGTGAATGTGCATCCGTATGAACTAATGTATTAATCTCTTACTATTATTTCAAATGTCTTATTTTTTATTTAATCAAGATATTTTTAATGCATATATTTAAATGTTGTATGATATGTTATATTGATTAATGCTATAAATTATCCTTGGGATAAATCTAATCTATAAAGTTCATATATAATGACAGAGATTTTTATCTAGTTACATTGTAGAAGAAAAAAAAAGTAAATGTGTTTGTTTTTTTCAGTACAATTTTGTTATTTTCATTTTTCTTTATTGTTGATATTGGAGCGACGATAGGATGCATCACACCATATCATTCATGGTTTCTTGCTACCTATAATATGTTTCAAAAATAAGAAAACAAAAAAAAAAAAAAAAAAAAGGAAAAGGAAAAGGGAAAATTGAAGTATGTTTCGTTATATTATTTATTCAACATTGATATTTTTAAAATAAAATAAAAACGACGTGTACTTTAAGTTATTTCTTATGAATATTTTGTGATAAAAAACTAAGCAAATAACAAACTATTATAGTTAATATTATTTTAAAAATGATAAATTTTAATAAGATGATAATAACTATTTTTCTTTGATTAACATTATTTAAGATATATATATTTCATTAAATGTATAATTAGAATAAATAAAAATAAACAACTTGAAAAAAATATAAACAAAAATTTCTTAGAAAATTTATCAATAAAAAATAAAAAATGAAAATAAAATAATTTTGCTTTGTCATTGATTATATATATAGTATGTAGAAAAAAAAAACATTATATCATTCTTATACAAACATCGTCATTTCAATATGAGAATATTAAAATCTTTTAGGTCATTTTATAGATAATATATTTATCAGAAAAATTCTGTGTAAGTGACACTCGAAATAAACAATTCATTGGTCGATATTTGTTTTATTATCTTTTTTCTTTAGTTTTATTGATTTTATTAATAACTAAAAATTAAAATGACTATGACTATGAATATAAGAAAAATTTTTATGATGAAATTATTAATACTTTGAATACTCATCGAAGAATATTATTAAATCATATCAACAAATAATACTAGACAAATCATGACAACTTATTTTTAATGATTCAAAATCGTTAATGTCTATCTGATCAATGGTAATTTCTATTAATAATCATATTTATTTATTTATTTACTAGTGATCATTCAGTTAAATATATATATATATATAATGTTAAGTTTTATTATTTGTTTAGCTGAATATTTATTATATGTAACGATCAGAGCTCGAAACGGAGAAGAATTTTTGCTCCTCGCCTCGCCTCGCCTCGCCCCGTCCAAAAAAAGGCTTTCCCGTCTCGCCTCGTACAAAGTTCTCCCCGCCTCGTCTTGTGTAAAGTGTTCCTGCCTCGTCTCATCCCGAATAAATTAGTCCCTGTCCCGGGGCCTCGCTCGATTCCCCGACCAGTTTCTTTCTCTGAATAGCAACAAAAGAATATAATTCGTCCTCAGTCATCCTTTAATTTTGTTATTCTCTGTTGAACGATGAAATAAAATATTCCTAACACTTGTGGGTTGCAAATTAGATCTTTGATTGATAATTTCATCTGCTACCAAATACTCTCTGTCGGCAGCAGCTAAATTCTGTGGCATTATATACATATAACTTGCCAATATGGAGAAATCTGGAAACAAATTTTTCAACTCATCTCAGAATGAGTACGAATTTGTACAGTCTTTGCCTAATTTGAAATCTATATGAATATCGACTTCATATTTTGTTATTGTTATAGACTTTATTTTTGTCAGTTCTTCATCCATTAACTGTTCAAGAAACTCTTTTGTTGAACCCTTTTCAATATTAACTGTTGCAACCGAAGTCACTTTCGACAGACATACATTGGAAGCACAATAGCATTTTGCTTTTTGAGTTTTTGTTACTGACAGTAGTCGTTTCACTTTTAGATGAACACATGAACGCTAGTTAAGGGTGCAACAAGGAATAATGCAGATTTCCAACAGACTGTTTTTCTCAATTTAAACTCAACCAAACGGTTCTATGCCAATGTTAAAACATAGAGAATTTTCTGTCGATTTGAACGAAATATTCTTTTAAATCACCGTNTTATATGGAACACACAACAACATTCGTACACTGCACAAAAAATTCTCGTTCAATTCATCAAGAAAAACTTTCCATTGGTAAAAAAGATCAATTATGTGAGGTAAGCCTTACTTTTCTTAAAGTTTATGTGCTACGTCAACTCTCTTTTTTCGTTTAGTGATGAGGCATGTGCCCACTTCAAGAACAATGCTGTTATTTTGAACCTGATTCATCATAAAATGGACTTCGATTTGGACGCTTGTTGGACGTTCACAGCTACAGGTCATGGTAAAGGTGCTGGCGACGGTATAGGTGCCGTACTGAAGTCAGTCGCCAGACGTGCTACACTTTCCAAAAACATTCTCATGTCAAATGCAAAAGACTTCTACGAGTTCTCACAAAACAGCAACTTGAAACAGCAAGAAGATCTAACAAAGATATTCCTGGTGTTCATACCTTCTTTCTTGAATCAGATGAAGTAGAAGAAGCGAAGAACAGTTTTTTGAAAGCTAGAAGTGAAAAACTTCGAACAACAGATGAGAAAAGCTTTTGCTTTTATTCCCTTATGTCTGTATTAACTTAGGTACAATACAAGGAATTCGAAGTATGCATGAATTCAAACCAATTAGCAACTCAATGGTTCGATATAGTTTGAAATCTCGTTCAACAAAGACCAGGACATTTACATTTAAATAAAAATCCTTTTTCTATCTTTTCTAGTTGATCAGATTTTTTAAAATCAGACTTGACGATGATACTTAATATTCAAATAGATTGAACAGCTCTCTTCATTACCACCTTATACTACATTTCTGTAGTCTCAGGTTCATGAATACATAGAAAATGCCTGAGCCTTCAAAACCGTCAATAGAACTGGTCTGATGTTTCACAGAAAGCATGTTTCTAGACTTTGTTTACATTTCTGAAAACCAAAAAATTCCGAAAAAAATGCTTTTAAAGAAGTTCCACGCTTTTTCTCGACATTTTTTCTATATATAAAAATACACCATAGGTGGTCCGAGAAAATGCTCGAAAACTCGGAATTTTTAATAGAGAGTATTTAATTTTTTTTAAACCAAAAGTGTTTTCTAGTCGACATCAACATTTTAAACTGAAAAAAATCGAAAAAAAACCTTTCCAAAAAAGTGGATGGGCCCTCATGCATTCACCCGTATTTTCAGTCGACCTTGACCTCAAACTTTTTTGCGTTTTAATTCAAAAACTTTGCACATGAATGTTTTCTTGGCCCAATTTTTTCCGTTTCTGTTTTCTCCACTGCTTATATTTGATTGATAAGCTAAAAACAAGTTTTTGGAAAAGACTCAACTTAAAATATTTTGTTAAAGCTGTAGATATTCCTAAGATCCTTCTATTTCTAGATATCATAACACACAACAAAAAACATGGGTTTATTTTCATCCACGACTTTAAATGATGATAGTACCAACGATGAAAGCAACAATGGAGATTCAATGGAAGTGTATGTATTATTCAAAGAACTCGGCGATAAGAAATATTCATGTAGTGATGTTGTTTCCCACCATATCGTTCTCGTGAAACACAACGACGGCACATTTTACTTTACGGATCTGGATGTAGATAGTAAAGGTGGGCCATGTCAGTTGCATTTTGACAAATACAAATTTCTAGACAGCAGGCCGATCTACTATAAACCATTTGGCCGTACGAGAAAAAGTCTCAATGAAATCATTCAATGGATCCAAAAAAATAACATGGCTGGTCTCAACTATAAAGTTCGGGTCGACCATTGCCGACGATACGCAGCTGAAGTTATCGCCTTTATGAAAACGAAATTCACTACCCGCTCAGAGAATGCGGCATATGTCGAAACCGACCCAAGAGCTCAATACCTGGTTCGCCTGATGGATACTAGGATGAAGACTGCAGACTCTTCCTCAGATCTAAGTTTATCTTGATTCTATATGTTCTATTCTTTATTTTCCCGACTGTAGAAGAGGGTCATATGGAATAAAAGAAGGTTTTTATATCTGTTTGCTTGTTTGTATTGTGCCAGAGATGTGAAGCATACTGCTTTAACCCTATGTTTCTATAATTGAGAAATCAGTTGATACGACTTACTTTTCATCAAAAATTATTTTTGACTTGTAAATTCATTTTTTCTGCCCAGGAATCGATTTAGGTGCCAAAGCTAGGGGTGCACAGTTTCCGTTTCCGTTCCAATAAGGACTCAGAAACGGAAACTGTGCACCCCTTACCAAAACATTATTTTGTGCTGAAAAGTCTTTATTACCAGCCTCATAGCGCTAGCGATGCAATAGTGATTTATCTACTTGATCTGGGCGCAATGCTTCATTAGCCCAGGCTGACTACTTTGACGCATCGGATGTAGTAGTCAGCAAAGACTTGTTGGCTGGCGAAAGGGACACGTGTTCGAAGAACGCAATAATGTTATCCTCTTTCTCCTAGCATTACCCATATGGCTAGTTTTCTGCGTGTTNAGTCTAAAACAAGATCTATACCTCTCATTGTTAACATGAATTTATCAATCAAGACTCATACATTGTTGAAATAAGTCGTTTGAAAAAGAAAAACGTCACATGATGTAACATGGTCGTGATTTGGTGAGAAAGTTTTTTCGTAGATTCCTAATGCTTTTTAATAATATTCAAGCGCTTCTGTGTAATCTTTCTGGTTTTGATAAAAGTCATCAACGCAAGTATATGTCGATACGATAGCTGAACTCTTAGGTGGTAATTTTAAAATACGAATATCAAGTGTTTTTTGATAATATTCCAGAGCTAATGAATAGTTGCCTATTTAATTGTACAGAACAGCCATTCTGTGATAAGTTTTTCCCAATATGGGAGAATCGGCTGGCAGAATGTTTTGGGTGTGGATGTGGTTCTTCTCTTTATTAACATTCATACCCATATTTTCAAAATTAACTGGTTTTGACACACTGTTTCATCTCCATTAGACTTGATCACTAGCCCGCTCTAAAACAGAATATGTGATATAATTTCCAAATAAACTAAAATGATTAGACAGATTAACAGGATAAGGTGACAAAAAATGGATAGGATACTAAACATTTGTATTGTGTTTTGAATCTGGTGACCAGATTCGGTATCAGAATACATTATAGGTGAACAAGATTTCTGTTGTAAGACAAATGAATAAGAGATCTTCAGTCAACAGCAATATGAAACATGTGTACTGAGACGCTATTCGGTTATGACTTGTATGGCATACTGTGTATTTAAAACAAAATCTCCAAATTGAAAAATCTCTATTTGGTTACCAGAATTGATCATGATTGCTTAAGTATCCACAAGTGTGGATATGATCTACGGATGAATCTGAGAATCACAATATGTGGTAAATGATAGACATTCAATTTTTTGGATCAAAATAACAGTATTTCGAGAAAATAACGATTTGTTTATAAAACGTGACTAAACGTTTTCGACATCGAGGTATCTGAATCTTAAGACAGTTTCTCGAATTTTGTGGATTCGAGAATCTCGCTTGAGAGAAGGAATCTTCCCACAAGGTTTTTCTCCATCATTGTACGGGCAAAGCAGGGTATCGTTCGGATCATATGAAAGAGCATCCCTGTTAACCGCTCGATCTACCAAAGGAACATTGTTTTATCATAAAAATAGAGCAAAATACTTTTTTCAATAAGAGATTTTTCTGCTTTTGTAAGAACAAAACATAGTGTTGTCCGCACCGATCAAGGATTTTCGAGGGCTCCTCTTTCATATGGCTCGAATAATACCATATTTCACCCGTACAATAGTGGAGAAAAACCTTGTGGAGAGATACCATTTCTCGAGCGAGATTCTCAAATACGCAAAATTTAAGAAATCATCTTACTATAAAAGCACCTCGACCTCGAAAACCTTTAGTCATGTTTCATAAAAACTCGTTATTTTCTCGAAATATTCTTATTGTGAACAAAAAAATCAATCTATGATAATATGACTCTCATTCCTAGCAATAACATCAATTTCTATCATATTTTCCAAAACCTTGTGAGCGCCACTGCAATTTCTCAGCACCATCTCAGCATCTTTTCAGCGATTTTGAGCATATTTTGGNGATTGACACTCGCGAGGGAAGGAGATCAGAAAACATGTGCTATAGCCAAAAGTTATCATTGTGATTTAGTTAATCATTGAGGAAACTTTCTTGTCATAAACTATTCAATATTAATGTGACAATTGGAGCTGCTTAGAAGAAGTCAAGATTTGTAGAATCAGCTAAAGTAATATGACCTTTCTCTTCGGATCTGAATATTGAGCCCCTACGATAGAATTATGCTCTTACAACTTAGCAAATCGTTGTGTTTGATATTTGAAATTTTAAATCGTAAAAGTTAAATATATTCAATCCATTTCCTTCCGAAAAAAGGAGATCTCATTCGTCCATTTACAAGGACTCTGACCTTTCTAAACAGCTGCAAAAGTCTTTAATAAATTTAGTATTGCACTTGAGATCATAACTAAGCAGAATTGAATAAATAAAACTGTGAGTGTTGTTTTCTTATCTCTAAATTTTGTTACGACTTGCGCAGAATCGTTGACGAGATTTTATCTACTATACGATTCGTTTTCATCACTGCGCATATGACTTCAAACAATTGCGGACATATGAGTAAGTCAAAGATCAATCAAGAGCAGATCTATGAACTGATTTCGTCTTAGATAATTCTAAGTTTTGTAACCATGCAAATATGAGTTTGATTTTATTCAATAACACATACCACAAAATATATATGAGAAGAAGAACGATAAATTGATGACATACTAGAAAAAAAAAGAGAATAAGTTTATCTATTATGTGAAAAAGAAAGGAATAAATCGGTTCACAATGTATGAGGAACATAGAAGAAAAAAGTGTCATTGTAATATGTCCTGTAACTTGTAGAGAATAAACAAACATGTAATGTATTTCGGCATATATTGACAAAACTCCTAACAGCAATATTGACAGGACGCAAGCAGAAATTCTCACGGGTATTGAATAGCTCTTATGAATGCTATCTGTAATGAAAGTTTGTCGTCCTCCATCAGATCGTGAATTCGTTTTTGGCTCCATGTGAAGAGAGTTCTTTACAAAGACTTTTTCAGTAATCTGTAAAAAGAAAGCTGTGTACTGCATTTGTCTATCTATCCATCTATTGTTATCGATCTATTTGATTTTCATGCTTGAAGTCGTCGAAATTAAGAGCATTTTTAATAGTTATGGTTAATATAGTGCATTTTGAGTCATCCTCATTGAGACTTTTAAAATATAAGTTGTAATCATCTCGATAGAGATCTCAAAATTTGAGGTAATAGGTACTAGTTACATAATTTTTACCAAATACTCAGAATCCGACAGCTTAGCCTACTGTTTATTAATGAGCTGATTCTTTAAAACAATCGATTACACGATGGCTGAGAAAGAAAGAAAATACGATATACCTAATTTTTGAGAAAATTCACAAAACCTAGCTTTTGAAAATTTTCTATGTTGATCAGAAAATAGTTTTTTCGTCTACAAATTCAGTAACACAAGTTTCTAGAGAAGAGCTATCGAAGAGACATATACGAATTAAAGTCTGGAATATGATAATATGACGTGATTTCTTGATGAACTTATCGATTCTCTCTTAGTGTACATTTATAGATTGACGTCTCTAAAACCGATTCTCGTCTTTGTATGGTTTATTCTTTTAGAAAATGTCAGGCATTTACGTTTGTTGTTCATGCTTTAGATAGATGTGTGTTTTTCGTGCTATGTCCAATATAAAGTTTTTTATCGTTTTTCTCTTAATAATGTATGCGTATACATTTGATAACGATTATAATCAAAACCAATGTGTTAATATATGTTCATTAAACATTAATGAAATTGATATATTAAAGTTTATAAGTGGCACATATGAAGAACGAAAAGAAATTGCATTATTATTTGATAAAACTTTTCAGGAATTCGGTATTATTTGATTAATAAATACTAATATTACATCAGAATTACTGGATAAAACAAAGGAATTTTTTTTCATTGAATTTGGAAACAAAACTGAAATATTATGTAAATGGTTCATATTATGGTACACCTGGATATAAACCTACAGGATTAGAGTCTGTTGCTAACTATAAGGGACAAAAAAAGGCATCAACATCGGATTCTATCGAAGCTTTTTTTTATTCACTTTCAAATCTTCATCAAAATAATTCAATTTTTACTATTGATAAATTACCTGAATTATTTCGTCATGTTATACCAGAATATATATTAAAGGCAAGACAATTAGTTTCTTATGTTCATAGTATTGCTGATATGGCACTAGAATTAGATGAAAATACATTTGAACAAAATAATACAAGTAATAATGCTAGCTTTACTTTAAGATTAACTAAATATTTACCAACGAAAAATGAAGAACAATTAGCATTCGGAGAACATCAAGATTATCTTGGATTTACATTAATACAAAATGATAATGTACCGGGTATGTAAAAGAGCATAAATTCTTCCATTTTTACGTCAAAATTAGAAAGAATACTGTATCGACTTATACTTTTCAGAAAATTGTGAAAATAAAAATATCATATTGTCTGCCGTCTTCTAATTATTATAATTTTTTAAAAAATTGATCCCATGAAATTCTTTTAGACTTCTGAAGTCCATGTCATATATGAATCTGGTCCTAGTGTACAATCTCTCGTCAGAGAAGTCTAATATATTTGTAAATGAAGTTCATTTTTATATCGATGTCCAGAAATATTGCTGATATATTCTTTATTTTTTAGGTTTAGAAGTAAATATAAATGAAAGATGGTTTCGTGTAGAATCTAAACCAAATACTTTATTATTAGTTGGCGGTGAATTTATTGAAAGATGGACAAATAATTACTGGAAAGCTATATTACACCGTGTTGCAGCTGTAAAACAATTAAGATATTCAGTATTATTCTTTAGTGGACCAGATATGAATTGTGTTATTCAAACATTACCATGTAAAAAATGTATAAAACAACAATCAAAATATATCCCTATCACTGCATACGAACATTTAGTACAAAGACAAATAGCTGCAACACGGAACTAATATCACAATTACAAAAAAACCTGTTCATTAATTCATTTGTTTTTTATTTCAAAGATAATTAATAAATACTAATCACATAAAACAAATGAAAATCAAATAAACAGAAAACTAGATACATTTAAATATTTTCTGAGAAATCTAATAGAATCAATCTCTTGACTGAGAGATGGGAAAGTAATAACACTTTCGATTTACAATAAATTTAAGAACTTTTGAGAAATCATACTTCAGATCTGAATCGTTTGATCGACAATAAGAGTCATCTTAAAGATCCATTGTTGAATGGTGTAGATGCGGGTATCAATGGATGAATCGAACACTCACACTGCCATTCATACCGATACACCACACTCACATCCTTTCAAACAATATTTCACAAGAAGAAAGATAAATATTTTTTTTTTGAAAACTTTTATTGGATATAGATTCTAATGGTGGTGATGCAATTGATGAAGTCAGTTGTCTATTTCATATTTACAATGTAATAAATAATATAAAATGACCAACCAATGATATTTATATTAAAACAACTTTTCTAAGTGCTAGGTAAAAAAACAAAAAAAAAGAAGATTAATTTTATTTGAATAAAATTTTGTTTATTTTTGAACAGAATATTTCTATAAAAGTTTTATTTGTATGAATATATTTATTTGAAGTCTATCGAAATTTTAATATGAAACTATTGAATTGTGATGAGAATTTTCAAACGAATAGTTTTTTTCTTTTGCTTTGATAATTTTGATTATGTTTATTTGTTGTAAATATGGATGTTCATGAATGTATTTCATCAAGTTAAAATAATTGTGACCATAGTTTTATTGATATATTAACATCGTTCAATTTAAAAAAAAAATTTTCAATATTTTATCATGAGAAAAAATAATTACTCATCGATTTAAATTTTGACTGGCACAAATTAGTCCTATGGCTAGAATAAGAACTAATGTATGCATTAATTTCAAAGTAAAAATACTCGAAAATGATATCTGCTGATTGAACGTTGATTCGATCTACAAGAATAGTTTTGATGAGATTAGAAAAACTTGAAGAAGATAAGATGAATATATGAATACTTTATGCATATGTATGATCTAATCTAACAATTAATAGAATAAAATCATTTTCTATTCTTAGCGGCGATATTCTGTTTAAATAAATTCTTGATTATATTAACTAATATCATTATAATAGTTTGTCATTGTGAAATTAGTTCCGTGTTGCAGCTGTAAAACAATTAAGATATTCAGTATTATTCTTTAGC